GGACCCGCCCAGCCCCCACCCGCGAGGAACTCGCGGGGACTTTGACCCGATCTCACTGTCAGTTTTAAGTTCAGTCCGCGCGGGGCGGGCGGGGCGGGGCTGACCTCGGAGGGAGGCAAACCTCCGGTCCGGGTCAGTGTCTCACACTGTCCAGAGCATGTATGGCTGCGACATCAGTCCCGACGGGCGCCTCCTCCACGGGTACAGACAATTCGCCTACGACGGCGTCGACTACCTCGCCCTGAACGAGGACCTGACCTCCTGGACCGCGGCCGACATGGCGGCTCAGATCACCAAGAGCAAGTGGGAGGCTACCCGTTTTCATGAGCGTAGGAGTAACTACCTGGAGGGGGAGTGCATGCAGTGGCTCCGCCTTTACCTGGAAAAAGGGAAGGAGATCCTGCAGCGCGCAGGTACCAGGGGCCCTGGGGCCGCCCCTCTCCCCGGGGCTGGGGCTCCTACAAGGACACAGGACAGGGGGTCAGTGTCAGACACCACCCCTTGGGGTCTGGGAGGGAGCTCCCTGGATGTCAGGAAAGGTCTTCGCTGCCTCTGTCCAGGCTGGTTTGTGGGCTGTATGCTCCCTCCCCCACCCCAGGTGTCTGTCCACTCTCAGGATGGTCACATGGGCGCTGCTGGAGTGTCCCATGGCAGATGCAAAGTTCCTGCATTTTCTCCCCCCCCCCTCAGTCCCTCCAAAGACACACGTGACCCACCACCCCGTCTCTGACCATGAGGTCACCCTGAGGTGCTGGGCGCTGGGCTTCTACCCTGCGGACATCAGCCTGACCTGGCAGCGTGACGGGGAGGACCAGACCCAGGACATGGAGCTGCTGGAGACCAGGCCTGCGGGGGACGGCACCTTCCAGAAGTGGGCGGCCGTGGGGGTGCCCCCTGGAGAGGAGCAGAGATACACGTGCCATGTGCAGCATGAGGGGCTGCCCGAGCCCCTGACCCTGAGATGGGGTGAGGAGGGGCCGTGGCCACAGAGCCTCTTCTCAGGGCAGCAGGGGTCCTGGGGGACCTCAGTGGGGTCGGGGCTGAGGCCTGGGTTCAGGGCCCTCACCCTCCCTTCCCTCCTCCTCCCAGAGCCACCTTCTCAGACATTCATCTTCATCATCATGGGCATCGCTGGGGGCCTGGTTCTGCTGGGAGCCATGGCTGGAGCTGTGATGTGGTGGAGGAGGCATTCAGGTAGAAGCGGTGGGGTCTGAGTGTCTGTCCCACTGGGGACTCAAGCCCAGGTAGACGTGTGTCCTGCCTCCTTCATGGGAAGCACCATCCCCACACATGTGATGGCCAGTGTGGGGCTCTGTGCTCACACTTACTCCTTAGTGAGGCCCGTGGGAAAGTGAGGGACCCACTTATCACCTGATGATGCCGGTGGTGGGGACCCTGTTCCCTGCAGCCCTAGGTCAGAGGGCAGGTCTCTCCAGGAGGGCGGTGGGTCCAGTCCCCACACATGCACTTCCCTCATGTTTCCTGATCCTGCCCTGGGTCTATACACAGGGTTCTGGAAACTTCTCTGGGGCCCAGGACTAGGGCTTCCTTTAGGTCCTCACAGCCCTGCCTCCTCCCTGGTCTCTCACGGGATGTTTTCTTCCCGCAGGTGCTAAAGGAGGGAGCTACGCTCAGGCTGCCAGTGAGTATGGAGGGGGGACCCCTGAGTCCCTGGGACAGAGCATGCATGAGCCCATGGGGTCCTCACCCCCAAAAGTTCCTCCTTAGTTTCCTGTCCTGGGGCTCTGATCCCATCCTCGTGTGTCCCCCCGCCAGGCAGTGACAGCGCCCAGGGCTCTGATGGGTCTCTCTCGGCTTCTAATGGTGAGACCCTGCCATGGGGAGGGGTGGGCAGAGGGAAGGACTGGGTGGTGGGGAGTCAGTGGGACACTGTGAGCATGAAGTGGGCTGTGAGAATGTCACCAGTTCCAGCCACTGACCTGAATGTGTTCATGATGCGTGTCCTCCACAGCGTGAGGCGGCTGCCTTGTGGGGGCTGAGTGATGGAAGATGTTCACGCTCCCACTTCCTGACTCAAGAACCAGCCCAGCCGCAACCGGTTTGGCTCAGTGGATAGAGCGTCAGCCTGTGGACTGAAAGGTCCCAGGTTCGATTCCGGTCAAGAGCATGTACCTGGGTTGCGGGCACATCCCCAGTAGGAGATGTGGAGGAGGCGGCTGATCGATGTTTCTCTCCCATCGATGGTTCTAACTCTCTATCTCTCTCCCTTTCTCTCTGTAAGAAATCAATAAAATATATTTTAAAAAAAAAGAAAAGAACCAGCCCTGCTCCCCATATCACCTTCCCTAGCCGCCCCCCCTTCCCCATCCCAATGTCTACATGACTCCACAGGAGACCAGGACATAGTCACACATTGAACCCTGTTCCCTTGTTCCTCAATGGACAACGAACATGATGTCCTTTATTTTTGTGTGGCTTATCCCCGGCGAGAAGTTGTTCTGACATACAGACAGGATTCAGGGAAGGTGGTACATAGGACAGATAGAGGGACACCATCAGAACTCTTAACACTGAGGTAAAGGCAAAAGAACACATCAAAAATTGGGCAGAATAATAGAGAGAAAATTTATACATGAAAAGACCCTGAGTCGTAGGAAATGTTCAATATGGCAAGTCATTCGATTCATTAGTTGTTGAGATTGCTTGAAATATTCCATATATTTTGTATTTTCATACTCTTTTTTTTTTCAAATTTTATTTTTTATTACAAAGGGTATTTATTACATATGTGTCCATTTTTTTCCCCGCCCTAGACAGTCCCCTAGCCTCCCCTATTCCCCAGTGTCCCATGTCCATTGGTTAGGCTTATATGCATGCACACAAGTCCCCTGGTTGATCTCTCTGCCCCCCCCCCGACCCTCCCCCTGAAAATGCTTCTTTTTAATAAACATTAAGGTCTTGCTATCTAAGTGAGCCATACAAATATCTGTTCATTTAAGATACATTACAATATGACTATTGTAGGGAAGGCATAACTCCAAAGCCAAACCCTAAAACCA